CACGCATGCGCAGGACGAATACAGCGCCTGCGCAATCCTCCAGGAGCAGCTGGAGTATCGCACAGACGCTAGTACACATGCGTGCACCGCGGGCATGCACGAAGACACCGCCGGCCCCGTTTCAACCGAACCGGTTGGAACGGGGCGAGAAACCCACCCCTGGTTACTACTAACAGATGCAAAAGTGGGCGGTAGATATAAAAAGGTTGACTACCCCTGGACTAGCCAAACCCAAGTCTGCAACCCTGGAGACAAGATAAAAAGATGCTGCCTAGAGATGATCAGACGAGAGGAAGGAGCCTATAATTGTTTAACGGGCAGAGAACGAAACTTAGGAAAGACCTTCCCAACTGTCAAATGGTTAAAAGTGGGAGCAGGAAATTTGTACCTTCAGACTTGCTGTGTTAATGTAGCCTTCCAATTACGTTGATTTAGCTCATTTAATCCTGTTTCCTATCTGGATTACCCAGAGGACTGACACCAAATCATGAAAGCAGCTGAATCTTTCCCCCCCCAGGAAAAGTCTCGCAGCTGCCACTAGAAACTTCCAAATGTGTACTTGTGAGCGCAGGCACAGCTACTTCAAAATATGAAGGCAGCCAGGAGCAGCTATCCTATGCATGTATGGGTTGGACAACCCAAGGAAAGCAAAGCTTTGTGCATGGTGATGTAATCACAACAGTGCTGTGACTTGTGTACTTGCACCAGACTTCCTGAAGCAAATATGTAATTAATTGCAGCATTTGGGTGATTAGAGCAACCCTGTGATATCACTGCGGTTTGTAGTGGAGGCTGCTGGGAGTTGCTTTTTAAAAGACAAAAAGAAATGGGTTTGTGCCCCACTTACCTTCCCTACCAGTTTGCAAATGTGAGCGTGCACATGCGCACGCGAGCTTTGCTCACATGGACCACCTGTGTATACACACTACAGAAAGTTGCGCATTACATCAGGGCAGGTGGGCGGAGCCTCCCGCAACCGCCACTACCAGTTCACCTGAACTGGAGAGAACCGGCTGAATACCACCTCTGTAATGCCCCAACACATTTCTTTTTTAAAAAATAGTATTTATTACATTTTCCAAAATACAAAACACATTTACACTTGTAACAGCTTTTCCATATCGGTATACATGTTTTTCATGGTTCCACCACAAAACCGCATTCGACTAAAGCGCGCTCGATGAAACCGCGTAGCTGACGTCATCAACAGGGTGACAACAGCGCGGAGACAGAAGCCCGCTGTAAATGCTAAACCTAAAATTA